AGCCAGGTGTGGTGGTGTGTGCCTGTAGTCCCAGCTACTTGGGAGGCTGTGACAGGAGGATCACTTGAGCCCGGGAAATTGAAGCTCAGTGAGCTATGATCCTGCCACTGCATTCCAGCCTGTGCGACAGAGCAAGACTCTATTTCAGAAAAAAAAGAAAAAAAGAAAAAGAGGCTGGGCATGGTGGCTCATGGGTGTAATCCCAGCACTTAATTGTTTTTTTTTTTTTTTTTTTTTTTTTTGAGCTGTTATGCTATCCCAACAGTTTCTTTAGGATGCCGAGGGAGGCAGATCACTTATGGTCAGAAGTTTGAGACCAGCCTGGCCAACATGGTGAAACCCCCTCTTTACTAAAAATACAAAAATTAGCTGGGCATGGGTGTCGGGCGCCTGTAATCCCAGCTACTAATGAGGCTGAGGCAGGAGACTCGATTGAACCCAGGAGGCAGAGGTTGCAGTCACCTCCAAGATGACACCATTGCACTCCAGCCCAGATGACAAGAGCAAAAACTTGGCTGGGCGCTGTGGCTCACGCCTGTAATCCCAGCTCTTAGAGAGGCAGAGGCGGGAGGATAGCTTGAGCCCAGGAGTTTGAGACCTGCCTGGGCAATATAGTGAGACCCCGTTCTCCACAAAAAGGAAAAAAACAAAAAGACAAAAAAAAAAAAAAGCAAAAACTCTGTCTCTAAATAAATAAATAATAAAAAGAAGACAATGAAATGAGAGGTGGAAGTAGAGTGATCAGGTGCTGAACCTTCCATTGTTGAGGGGGAATGGCGACCCAGAATCTAATCATGGGAGAGTCAGACCACTCACACAGATGTTAAAGGAGTGAAGAGCCTCTCCTAGAGGATGGAGTCTGTCAATAGAGGTGCCAGAGCCAAGGGCATCCCCTGCAGAGGGAGGTGAATCAGATAGGAAGAGGATAACATTGTAAGTTTATTTCTTCTTGAGGGAGGAGTCTGGCTGAGGTTAAGACATCTGAGATTAAGAAACAAACATTCATAAGGAAAAGCAAAAGAGAGCTAAATCATTTTTTATTCATCTCTCCCTCTGCCTAATTCTTTTCAATTGAATTGAGTTCAAAGATTGGTAGAAGAGGTTTTATCTGATGAGGATCTGCAAACCAGAGATAAGCCAGATTTGACTCCTGCCTTCAAGTAGCTCACAGGGTAAAGCTGTGTACATCAAGTTATCAGGTGGGAAGAGATGAGAAAATATGCAGATAATGGGAATCTTAGATCTAGATACTTTTCTCCTAAAGAAAGTTGCCCAGAGTTGAAGTTATTTTTTGGCCTCTTCACTCCCCCTGGGTGGTTCTTAAAGTGCCTGTAAACCTATGATTCCCAAACTTGGCTGCCCTGTGGAATCACCTGATCATGTCTTAAATACTGATGCCTGAGGCCCACTCCCAGATACTCTTTTTTTCGTTTGTTTGTTTTTCAGACAGGGTCTCGCTCTGTTGCGCCGGCTGGAGCACAGTGGTGTGATCACTGCAGCCTCTGCCCCACAGGCCCAAGCAATCTTCTCGCCTCACCCTCCCAAGTAGCTAAGACTACAGCTGAGCCACCTGGCTCGGCTTAATTTTTTTTTTTGAGACAGAGTCACACTCTGTGGCCAAGGCTGGAGTGTAGTGTCACGATCTCAGCTCATTGCAACTTTCACCTCCTAGGTCCAAACGATTCTACTGCCTTTGCCTCCCGAGTAGCTGGGATTACAGGCATATGCCACACCATACCTGACTGATTTTGTGGTTTTAGTGGAGACGGGGTTTTACCATGTTGGCCAGGCTGGTGATCCACCTGGTTTCGGCCTTCCAAAGTGCTGATGATCCACCTGGCCTCGGCCTTCCAAAGTGCTGATGATCCACCTGGCCTCAGCCTTCCAAAGTGCTGATGATCCACCTGGCTTCGGCCTTCCAAAGTGCTGGGATTACACGCATGAGCCACCGTGCCCAGCCTAGGCTAATGTTTAAACCTTTTGTAGTGATGGGGCCTTACCATATTGCCCAGGCTAGTGTCGAACTCCTGGGCTCAAAAGATCCTCCTGCCTCAGCTTCCCAGAGTGCAGGGATGACAAGTGTGAGCCACTTCACTGGTCCCAGAGATTCTGATTTAATTGTTTTAGGACGTGATTTGGATTTTGGGATTTTTCAGTGCTCCTCAGTGGATTCTAATATGTAACCTGGGAAAGAACCATTACACCAAGGAATGCCTGAAGCTCTGTTTAGACATCTCACCAGTATCCAGTATGGAGTCTGCCTGTTGCATAAATGCATAATGCTTTAATCTAACCCAGAGGACAGAGAGAGACCTTTTTGCTGGAGTGAGGGATGAATTAATCTGGGTCTTGAAAGATATTATAGATAAAATTTGACCAAGTAGAGAGGCAGATGTGAAGAGGGGGAGAACGTCATGAGCAAGAGCCTAGATGTAGTCAGCCTCTGAAACTTGTAACAAGCTGCAAACAATCTGGTTTATAATAGGGAGAGATTTGGGAAGGAGGGCTAAGATTTGGGAACAGCTGGGCAAATACCTGGAGGTGGGAATGATGAGTAATTCAGTATGGTTAGAAATCAGAATGAACAGAGAAGCTGGATGATTTTAAATTATGGAAGCTGTTAAAGGTCAGATTAAAATTTTGTAAATAATTGAGCAGGGAATAGGGAATCCCGAAGGGCTTTCGAGCAGTGGAGTTACATAAGTGTGTTTAGGGAGGCTCATCTGACAACAGTGTGGAGGGAGATGAGGTAGGGGGAGGTAGGAAGTAGGAACACCTGTTGGAAAGCTGATGCAATAATTCTAATTGTTCCAGCCTTGGGGAAAAAAATGACAGATTCAAAAGACATTGTGGTGGCAAAATTGACTGGGCTTGAGAACACACCAAAAATAAGGCAGGAGGGAAAGGGAGGAGGCAGCAAATTTTCAGATAAGGAAGAGTGATTAGGAAAATGGTCTATTAACAGACAGGGAAGCAGGTTTTCTGCGGCATTTCATCAGTTTGTTTTGGAATGTGCTGATTTTAGAGGACCGGCAAGCATAATCCACGTGGCTGTGATCTGCAGGCACTGGAAAAAACGTCTGCATGTAAAATACAGGTTGGAGAAGCATTTGATTAGCTGAGTTGAGTGACTGAGCTTTTCAAAGGAAAGTCTCAGAGAAGGGGAAAACAATTAAAGATGGACACTTAGGGGAAGGGAGGAGAACAAGCAAGGAGGGAAGGCAGGCAGAGGTGAAGATGGTTAGAGGTCTATGTGGAGGCGGGGGTGAAGGAAGGTCAATAGGTGCCTGAACCTGGGTGTGTGGGGAATTCAGGGTCAAGGGACAAACACAGAAGGGTTTAGAAGCAGCATACTGTGAAAATGCCATTGATTTGGGATCTGGGTAGTCGGTTGCCATTTAAGAGAGAGGTTTCAGGAGCGTAGGGTGCGGATGCATATTTCAATTAGTCAAGAAGTAGTGGGTATGAAAGACAGATTCAGACATATCTCTGATAGCAATATCCCCCCACCTTTTTTTTTTTTTGAGACGGAGTTTCGCTCTTGGTGCCCAAGCTGGGGTACAATGATGCGGTCTTGGCTCACTGCAACCTCCACCTCCCGGGTTCAAGCGATTCTCTTGCCTCAGCCTCCAGAGTAGCTGGGATTACAGGCTCCCACTACCACATTTGCCTAATTTTTGTATTTTTAGTAGAGATGGGTTTTCCATGTTGGCCAGGCTGTCCTCGAACTCCTGACCTCAAGTTATCTGCCTGTTTCCGCCTCCCAAAGTGCTGGGATTACAGGCATTTACAGACATGAGCCGCTGTGACCTGCCTCCACTATTTGTTTTTTAAGGTGTTAGAGGGTGAGTGGAAGTGGAAACTGCAAACATGAATTATTATTATTTTTTTTCTTTTTTTTTTTTGAGACAGAGTCTCAGTCAGTCGCCCAGGCTGGAGTGCAATGGTAAGATCTCGGCTCACTGCAACCTTCACCTCTCAGGTTCAAGCAATTCTCCTGTCTCAGCCTCCCGAGTAGCTGGGATTACAGGTGCCTGCCACCAAACTTTGCTAATTTTTTATATTTTTGGTAGACACAGGGTTTCATCATGTTGGCCAGGCTGGTCTCCAACTCCTGACCTCAAGTGATCTGCCGGCCTGAGCCTCCCAAAGTGCTGGGATTACAGGCGTGAGCCACTGCACCCAGCCGTGAATTCTTTTTTTCAAGAAGTTTGGTAAGGTAGGTACATTAAATCTTAAACATCCAAAGTGGAACCCATGATATCCACACCTCCTCCCACATCTCCTATCTCAGTGCATGGCTTCGCTTCTAGATTGTAAGCTCCGTGAGGTCAGGGGTCACACCTGCTGTCGGGGTGGATGTCTCACCAGTATCCAGTATGGAGTCTGCCTGTCGCATAAATGCATAAATTCAGGATAGGACCACCAAAGACCCAAGCCCACTGCTGGTGCCATCCACTAATCACCACTCCCCTCTCAAAAGAGGCCTCTTGGTTGACCTCTTTTGGATAGGAGAGGGCAGCTAGTTCCAGGGAGACTTGAGAGGCCATTGATCTCCTCCCTGGGCTCCCAATCTGCTCTCTTTGCCTTTCCTATACCCCGTACAGTCCAGCATGTGGGGCTCTAATCCAAATTTTCTGCCACCCTCCAGCCCAGTCAGGAACAGCTATGGGCAGCTGGCATCTTTTCCTGAATCACTCTATCCTTGACCAGCTTCTTCACCATGGTCTGCCCTCTTCTGTCCTCTTGCCTTCCTGGAGTTCTGGGGATAGCAGGGAATGGAAAAGGGGTACTGGGGAAATAAAGCCTCACTGAGCAAATCAAGCCTCACTTAGAATGGCCCCCCAAGGTCTTCTCTGGTGGATTCCCAGGGAGTTTCCCTCCGTCTCCCATATTCGCGTGTCTCTCTGGAGATCTGGGAATCTGTCTCCCTCACGTTAGTCTCTGTCGGATTTTCTTTTTTTTGCGAGGCCGTAGTCTTTGGAATTGCGGGCAATAAATCAACTAAGTCTCTTTAATATCGTCTTTCAGAAGTTCACACACACGCACACACAGATCAGAACAAGGCGGGGGCCGCCGAGGGGAGCGGGGAGCGGGGACGTGGGAGGTCCATAGCCTGGATTCCTTTCTGCCCAGCTGCTCAGGGGCTGGGAGAGGTGGAAGGGAGTATTTACAGAGCTTTTACAGCATGTTTCCTATCCCAGGGAGAAGGGTCCTACACCAGGAACTTCCCAAATGTCCTTCCAAAAACAAAAGGATAGGTTCTGGGATTATAAAGAAAATAGGCTGAAATCTGGGTGGAGGAGGGACGAAAATGTACTCGCAAAAACGGGAGGTGGGGGCGTGGCTACCCCAGGGCTCGGTCCTTTGGCCGGAAGAAAGGGAGGAGTCTGTCGGTCTGAAGGCGAGGCCTGGAGCCACAGACCCAATCACTGGACTGAATCACCCCGCAGAGACAAAAAGAAGGCGGAGCCTGCCGACCTGGAGGCGGGGTTTTATCAGAGCTAGGGCGGAGCTTATAGAGGAGGCGGGGTTTTAGGGACCAAACCGAGTTTGCTGCGGGCGCTACGCTTTGAGGGTGAGGGGGCCTGGAGCGACTGAGGGTCCGGCATTTGGCCGGGATCCCGTAAAGCGGCGTCCCTTGGGATGTGGGTTTTGGAGGGGTTCCTGAGGAATTGGATTCGGAGCTTGCTCCCAAGGCGAGACGTTCCGTGGAGGCGGAGTTTACGATGTACTGAAGTCTGATGGTCCCAGAAGCGAATGTGCAGGGCGCCCATTGGGTCCGCGGCATGATTGCAGAATGAGCCGGGGGATCGAGGGGCGCAGAGTGGAGCCAGACCGGGGGCGTTTTTAGGGATCCCAGTAGTTCTCGTGGTGCTGCGCGGCGATGATGATGACTACGGTGAGGATGGTACAGAGCACCATGGCTGCGATGCCCACGGCCAGGGAGATGAAGGAGAAGTTCCGGGCCTCGCGTGAAGCGATCTCGGCCGACACCATGTCTCCGCGGGCCAAGGCCGTGCGCACCTACGGAGGAGAAGTGGGGAAAGGAGGTCAGAGAGCAGCAGCCTTTCTCTACGATGGTCCCCAGCACTCCCAGAACTGCCCATCCCCCAAACCGAGTATGCTCCTGCCCCCTACCTGCACTGCCTTGAAGATGGCAATGATGCCCGTAGGCCAGAAGCAGCAGATGGTGGTCAACACCGCGATGGGCATGTAGTCGTGTGGCGGGCGCCTCGGCTCCAGTAGGGCCAGCCCTGGGCCCTGGGGCGGCGGGGGGAGAGTGGAGGTCACTCCTGTCCCCCCCGGGGTCCCGCCTGCATATGGCTGTGGAAGGAAAGTTGGGGAGAAGGGGCATCACTCCAACCCTCTCCCAGCCTACCAGCATTGGGTGGCCGGCAGAGTGGCTTTAAAAAAGCACAATTCTTAACTATGGTTTCTCAAAATAAACCACCCACTATCCTTCCAGGACACCCTAAATTCCACCTAGGCCCCTCTTCTCCCTTCCTTGCTTCATTAACCACCATTCTTGGGTTCTCTACATTCTCTCCCACAGGTATGGTCCCACAGGGGCTGCCCAGGCCTCACTTCAGACCTTGTTTCTTCCTTCTGGACATCTACCAGGCCTCCCCTACCACTAAGTCCCAGGCTTCTTTCATATTCCTCTGGGTTCCCAGCTTCCATTTTTCCCCCTCCAGACAGTTTCCTACTTTCAGACCTCCTCTGAACCTCTAGGCTCCGTTCCCTCTCCCAGGCCCTGACTTTGGGTACCAATAGACTCCTACTCCCGGGTCTCTCCCTAGTCCCTCTCGTCTCAGGCTCCCTTCTTACTAGGCCTTGTCCCAGGAACACTACCTGTTCCCTGCCCTGTTCCTCTATCCTACCAGCCCCCAGCGTATCCCCAATTTCAAGTCCTGTATGGCATCCCCCTCTTCTCCCATGCCCCTGTCTGCCCCGCACTCACCGTGCCCACCGGGTAGACCGGCACGTAAGCAGTGCAGGGCTGCAGCTGCAGGGGGTATCCGGGCGCTACGTAGCCCCCCAACGGCAGCGTGCCCACAGTCCCCGTGTGCGTGGGCACCACGAAGCCGGGGGCCTGGGCAGTCTGGGCGGGCGCTGGTGGGGGCGGGGCGGCGGCGGCGGGCGGCGGCGGGGGAAGTGGGCCCTCGAAGCGAGTCTCCTGCAGGTAAGGGTCGGGTGGCATGCGGGGCAAGGTAGCGCAGCCGGGTGGGGGTGCTCCGGCAGCAGGGCCGGGAGGGGCGTGGTGGGGGGGCCTTGGCAGTGTGGCGGAGGCGGAGGGACCGCGCTGAGAGGTGGCCGCGGAAGAGGCCAGGCCCCCTGCCCCTAAGCGCGGGAGGGTGGCGGTGCCAGACTGATGGTAATGGTGGTGGTGGTGATGGTGTGAGGAAGGGGCTGCCTGTGGCGGTGGCGCTGGGGGTTCGGCTGGAGGCTGAGGGGCATTGTAGGGCGGTGGAGAAGTGTGAGGGACTGAGTCTGGGAGTCCTGGAGGAGGTGAGTGGAGGAAAGGATAAGGGGAAAGATAACAGACAGTGATGAGGAGGAGTAAGGGAAACAGCGAGTCATGGATGGAGAAACATAATAGGAGACACATAGAAGGAGACAGTGAGAAACCATCTCTAATTTGAGGGGCAAGAGAGGGGCTATATCTAGGCCATCTGCCCCCCTCCTTCTTCCTTCCAATCTAGTTTTGAGGTCACAACTCTCCTCTGCTTCTTTTCCGTCTTTTTCAACACCAGGCACCCAGCTCTCACCTGCAGACCCCAATCCCCTCTCCTTGCTATAGCTGCCTTTGGGCTGGCCTATCGGAGCTAGCCCTGTATGTGCATATGTGTAGACATGCAACACTGTGTTATCTATGTTCGATTCAACAGTTGTATAAACACATGTAGGATGACATGTGCTCCACTCTGCTGTATCTTCAGTGGGGGGAGGAGTGCCCCAGCCTCTATGAGAATCTCAGGACCTCTTTTAGGGCAGATTAAGAAGAGCCCTCTGGATTTTACTCCCTTGGCAACCCCATCTGGTCATGTCTCCATGTTTTCCTACAGGATGTCTCCATGCCAGCCAGGGATTGTCCATCTGTCACTCCCAATGATGCTATTCTTGCAGAACCTGGCTGTACTTCCTTCACCCTCTCAATCTACCTCCCTCTGCCCCTGCTGTTTGCAAGGGGCAGAGGCTTCGACTGGAAAGAGGAAAGGAAGAAAAAAGGGGAGACAGAAAGAGGAGGGGTATTATCGGAGTGTTGAGAGCTGGAGAGAAGGGGAATGAAATAGAACCACCGCTAGGGAGGGGTGAAGAAGGGGGCTGGGGCAAGGGGGAGGAGGAGGGAGAGTGAGAAGACAGTGGAGGGGGTGGGAGGTTTTGTTATTGTTTTTACCTGACTTTTCGGATGACATGCCTGTGGTCTCACTGGGACAGGGTCCCTGCAGCCGGAGTTGGGGGTCCTCGGCCGGTGCTGGAGTCTGGGTGCTGGATGTCGCAGCCGGCAGCAGCGCAGAGATGGAAAGATGAAGGCAGCGGCGGGGGGCGGGGGGCGGAGGGAGAACAGGGATGGGGGGGAGCTTAAAGGGACCGACCGTGGCGAGGGAGGGGGAGCACTTCAGCCGTCCCCCACTAGGTATCTCTGCTCTTGGACCACCTCTCTCTCCTTTCACCCCAGCATTCAAGCCCCCAGTTTAGGCTCCTTTGGAGTTGTCATGGAAACACGGAGGCTAGACCAGGCTAGGCCGGTGGGACTAAGGGAAGGAAGGACGGAGAGAGAACTCTCTAGAGTCTCCCCCTCCAAGACTCACTGTAGTGATTATATTGTGGGAGGAAGTGAACGGGTTCTCAGTGGAGTTAATAACCCAGGTACCTCCAGAGGCAAGTTCTCCCCCGACTTAGCTCCCTGCAATGTGCCAGAGTCTTCTCTGAAAGGTGCCAGGGTCTTCTCCCAAATCCTTGGCCCGTTTTCTCCCCTCAGAAGAGATAAATACTTGTGTGTGAGAGAGAATTGTATAGAGTTCAGAACTGCAATGTTCTGAAGAGTTCCCAGGGTATGGTGGACCTGCCAACCTGACAGTAAAGACCGAGGCCCAGGTCTGTAATTAGGGGGAAGCTGGGCCTTGGGGGGAAAAGGGAGAGAGAGTTTGTGTGGTGTGCATACATACCTTCTTTGTCCAGGACTCAGGAGCTGAAGTTCTTTTGGAGAGGGTGTGTGTGTGGGGGGGTATGACTTAATTGCTCATTTCTGGCAGCTCCGTTGGAAATGCGTGCTTGTTCCCCCTTTGCTTGCTGAGGCTGCTTAGAGTGTCTGAGCCGGTCAATGCTTAGATCCATTCCCTAAACCCCTCTACTTCCACCCACCACCTCTCACCAACAGGCATCTCCACCTCCTGAGTCGACCTGCAGCACAGCGTTATTAGTCTTTTTATTTGCTTATTGTATCTTGGGAGCGCGTGGGTGGGTGCAGGGAGCGAGGATAGGCAGTCTACGGAGAGTTACACCAGTTGGGTTTTTTTTTTTTTTTTTTTTTACAAAAACACAGCCAGAGAATCATTCTGCTCCTTATGCCCTCCAGCCCCCGCGTAAGGCCGTCGCTTTCCCGGCTGGGTCCCTTTTTGTCCATATCCTAGTGGAGACTACAGAGCAGTACAGAGGCTCTCGCTGAAACCAGTTCCAGGCTCCAGAGTCAGATCAAGGCTTCACACCAGTCGTTCTGGTCACTTAGGCGTTCCCGTGAACCCCCAACCCCTTACCGCCACCCGGTCTTCACGCTACACCATTCCGAGCGCAAAGTGGTTTAACTGAGACGAATTTAGACCCAGCAATGACCTTGTGAACAGAGAGAGGGGCTCAGACATGCTGAGAAAGCCTTCTCGCCAGAGAAACGTTTTTAAATGCTAAGTAAAAGCCCTGAGGCACTAGGGTGTCGGGTAGGGGTCAAGGGCGGAGAGGTGGAGCGCCTAGGGGTCTCGGTAGGGACCCACCCACAGAGAGCTCAGAAAGCCAGATTGTGGGGGTCGCTCAGGTTGAAAGACTGGTCGAAATTACGCGGGCGTGAGTCAGCGCATCCCTTTGGGCCCTCCGCCCCTTCGGGGTGGGTCGCTTATGGGGAGGGGAGTAGAGTAGGGCAGGAGAAACTGGGCCAGGCTGCACTTAGCTCAAGGGGCCTCGAGGACTCTCCGCGTCTCTGGAGACAAGGGCACTACACGCACTTCAGAATGAAGAGTTGTAAGATGCTGACCTGGGGCGGGCTGGAGGGGGGTGGGGTTGGGGGTGGGTGTTGAGGGGTAAGCCCGCGCTGGCATCAGCCCTCCAGGTCACCCTGTCACTCACCCAGCACAAGGCAAAATGTGGAGGGCTATCTTTCCCTGGTCCACCCCCCGACCGCCCCTTGGGAAAAGAAAACTTCGTGTTCTGCTGCAGAGCCGGACGCCTGTATTGGGAAGTGGGGAGAATAAGGCGGGGAAGTCGGACCTTTGGGTCGCTGGGGCCGACGAAGCCTGGGGGCCTTCTTTCCATTCCCATAATATGTTTGCTGCTTTTTCCTCTCCCCACTGGCCTAAATGGATCGCTCCGCCTATTTCCTCCCCGGCACCTAGGGCGCAATGGAATATTCCATTGCCCCTCCGGTCCCGGCTCTGAGTTGCGGGGGACGCTCACGCGGTTGCCAGAGAAAGCCCCGGACGTGACGGATTTGCGCGACCCCAAGCAGCCCGCCCTCCCCCCCTCCCATCCGTCATTCTCCTGCGCTCCCTTTCCCCCCTCTTCCCTCTCCCTCGTGGGTTCCAGATTTGGGAGAAGTAAACAGCGGGCGGGAGTGAGGCCTACGGACGCAGGCCAGGTGGGAGTTTGCACGCTCCGGGGGTTCTGGGCTGCTGCTCCGGGTATTGCAGAACTCCGCGTTGTTCAGGACTGGGGACGTGCATTAGGCTGGGCCTAGGGAAGAGGTACACCGAGCGAAGAGTTGGGGGCGGGACTTCGGGTGTGCGTTGGTGCGTCAACGTGGTAGGGGGGTGTGTTTGTAGGGAGAGGGCTCGAGTAAGTTAAAAGTAGGCTATTTTGTGACAAGGACCTGGTGTGGGAGCGAGAGGAGGCAGCTTGATTGCCGTGCGTTTTTTCCGAGGGAGGAGGGTGTTGCCATCTCCCTCACAGGCCCTTATCGCCCCTTTCTCAGGCGGGAGCATGCTGGGGCTCTGGGGGCAGCGGCACCCCGCGGCGTGGGTCCTGCTCCTGTTGCCTTTCCTGCCGCTGCTGTTACCTGCAGCCCCCGCGCCCCACCGCGCGTCCTACAAGCCGGTCATCGTGGTGCATGGGCTCTTCGACAGCTCGTACAGCTTCCGCCACCTGCTGGAATACATCAATGAGGTCTGGCACGGGACACCCGGGTGCCGGGCGTTAGAGGCTGCTCTACTGTGGCAGGGGAGGGAAAACTGAAAGCCACCCCTCTGGGCCTGCCCAGTTCCTCAGGGAGCTGATGCTGGCATGGAGGGAGAGTTGGGGGACGGGATCCCTGGTTGTAGCAGGGCACAATAGGCCTGTGGACGTGGGCCAGGGGGTGGCGTGTGGGAGCTTTTTAGCCTATCCCCGGTGGCTGCATTGCCCCCTTCCCACAGACACACCCCGGGACTGTGGTGACAGTGCTCGATCTCTTCGATGGGAGAGAGAGCTTGCGACCCCTGTGGGAACAGGTGCAAGGGTTCCGAGAGGCTGTGGTCCCCATCATGGCAAAGGCCCCTCAAGGGGTGCATCTCATCTGCTACTCGCAGGGTAGGCGACTCCCCTGCCCCTAACTCCTAAGCCCTATCTGAGGCTTGATCCTTATTTGAGGGACACTTCCTAGTGTCGCTTTTTCTGAACCACATTGCTCCAGGAGCAGCCCTGGTACCTGAGCCCTTCCTTTCTGACTTCCCTCAGCATCTGGATCTCATCTCTGTCTTGAATGGGAGGGAGGCTCCCTACATTGCTGCTCCTTCTTTCCCTATTATCCATGGTTCTTGGGCATAAGGGCTAATGGGGCAGGTAAAAACACCCTAGAATTAGAGGCAGGAGGCCTAGCATCTAATTCGGGTTCGGTCACTTATATGATGTATGACCTTTTGGCACAGGGTGTGTCTGCCTTCCGGAAGCCTCAGTTTTCTTTATGTACAGTGTGTTGGGGGGCAGTGTGTGTTCGTGGGGGTAGAGGGTGCTGCTGGCTTTGCTGTCCTTAAGTCCCTGCCCAATGTGGTGTTCTGTCTACAGGGGGCCTTGTGTGCCGGGCTCTGCTTTCTGTCATGGATGATCACAATGTGGATTCTTTCATCTCCCTCTCCTCTCCACAGATGGGACAGTATGGAGGTGAGTGGGCACTGGGCCTCACAGAATGCCCTGAGTTTTGGGGGCACAGAGGTTTATGGTCACTTAGCACTGCCATTCTCTTGCCAGACACGGACTATTTGAAGTGGCTCTTCCCCACCTCCATGCGATCTAACCTCTATCGGATCTGCTATAGCCCCTGGGGCCAGGAATTCTCCATCTGCAACTACTGGCATGGTGAGTGGGGATGCTGAACTGGGGCTTCCATGGAGAGGGCACTGTGGAGGGTCGGGGCAGTTGCTTCCACCTCTGCTACAACCAATAGAGTAATGACAAGAAAAATAACTTACATTTATGGAGCATTTACTATTTGAACAGGCACTGTTGAGATTTTTTTTTTTTTTTTGAGAGGGAGTCTCACTCTATTTCCCAGTCTGGAGTGCAATGGCACAATCTAGCTCACTGCAACCTCCGCCTCTCAGGTTTAAGCGATCCTCCTGCCTCAGTCCCTCTAGTAGCTGGGATTACAGGTACATGCTACCATGCCTGGCTAATTTTTGTATTTTTAGTAGAGATGGAGTTTCACCATGTTGGCCAGGCTGGTCTCGAACTCCTGACCTCAGGTGATCCACCAGCCTTGGCCTCCCAAAGTGCTGGGATTACAGGTGTGAGCCACCACACCTGGCCCAGAATGTTTTAAGTATATCACCTTATTGCCTCAGCAGGTATAGTCTGATGCAGGAATCAGCAAACCTTTTCTATAAAGGGCCAGTGAGTAAATATTTCTGGCTTTGTAGGACATACAGTCTGTTTAACAGCTACTCAATTCTGCTGTTATAGTGTGAAAGCAGCCATGTACTCTATGTGAATGAATGTGTCTGTGTTCCAATAAAACTTTAATTACAAAAACAAGTAGCAGGCTAGATTTGGCCCTTGGTTTGCTCTAGACCAGACCATGGGGCCAGAATACTTGGGTTTGAATCTTGACCCTACTGGATGATTTTGGGCAAGTTACTTAACCGTTCTGTTACTCAGTTTTCCTTATTTGTAAAATAATAAGATAGAATACTTCACCGGGTGGTTTTAAGGATTAAATAATTAATGAATGCAGTGTACTTTGAAGAGTACCTGGCTCATAGTAAGTGCTAGATAAAAGTACTTGCTATTGCCAGATATGGTGGCTCACCTGTAATCCCAGCACTTTGGGAGGTGGGCGGATCACTTGAGGTCAGGAGTGTGAGACCAGCCTGGCCAACATGGTGAAACCCTGTCTCTACTAAAAATACAAAAAAATTAGCTGGATGTGGGCACATGCCTGTAATCCTAGCTACTTGGGAGGGTGAGGCAGGAGACTTGCTTGATCCCGGGAGGCGGAGGTTGCAATGATCCGAGATTGTGCCACTGCACTTCAGCTTGGGCAACAGAGTGAGATTCCATCTCAGAAAAAAAGTACTTGTTATCATGTTTACAATTATTATCACTACTGTTACTATTTTTTTGAGATGGAGTCTTACTGTGTCACCCAGGATGAAATGCAGTGGCACAATCTTGACTCACTGCAACCTCCACCTTCTGGGTTCAAGTGATTCTTGTGCCTCAGCCTCCCAAGTAGCTGGGATTACAGGCAGGCCCCACGACGCCTGGCTAACTTTTCTATTTTTAGTAGAGACAGGGTTTCACCATGTTGACCAGGCTGGTCTCGAACTCCTGACCCCAAGTGATCCACTTGCCTTGGCCTCCCAAAGTGCTGGGATTACAGGCGTGAGCCACTGCACCTGGCCCATATTATCACTACTGTTTTATTGCTACCCATCTTGACTGTTGCTGCAGCCTCCTTATTGGGCTTCTCACCACCTGTTTTGCCTCCCTTTTCTGCTTCCTTTTTAAACTGCTGCTTGTACCCAGATCCCCACCATGATGACTTATACCTCAATGCTAGCAGCTTCCTGGCCCTGATCAATGGGGAAAGAGACCATCCCAATGCCACAGGTGAGAATCCAGTCTCCTACCTGT